ATCCATCCATCCATCCATCATCCATCATCCATCCATCCATCATCCATCCATCATCCATCCATCGGTCTGGAGTTGCTGGTGAGTATGAACTTATAATTCTCTATTTTTCAGTTGGATTTCAAAGATCAACATCATGTAAAATAACCTCCATCTTTCTTTATCCTTCATGTTTTGCCCTTAAAAATGTTGAAATCAGTCAAAGAAACTAAAATCGGTGTCAGCTGGTCAGTTCATTCCTAACATGGATCATCCGATGAGGTGATGGATGGATTTTAAAAATGAAAACAGAAATGATGTCATCATAATAAAACTGCTCTTGAATCAGATGTTGGAATGTTAAATATCCGACCTGAAGGCTGCAGCTTCAGAAAATCACCTGCAGGAAGAGACACAATGCAGCAGCAACAGAACCGATCGAATGTTGAAGCATCCAGAATATTTCAGATTTAACCGGATGACGTATGAAACAAGATTCTGGTTTAAAACCAAAGCAAACAGTAAAACAGAGTCGGGCTGCGTCCCACAGGGTGAGAACAAAAACAACCTGCATGACACCAGCCTGAAGGTGGCGCTGCAGCAACGATACAATCAGATAAATAAAGGTTCTGCTTCCTGTTGGATCCACAGTGTTCAGAAAGCAGCTGGACAGACAAACTGATCCACACAAAACATAAAGGGAAGTCTGACAAATAAGGCCCCTCTAAGAAATCAGAAATAAAATACTTTAAAAAAGGGGGAAATAATAAAAGAGGCACCAGGAAGTCGATATAAAACTGCAGTCTGTGTGATACGAAAACCGGAGCAGTTGGATTTATATAAAAACATGAGGAGGGAAAAACGGACGGCGGCTACATCATCCGAGAAGACGTTCCCGACGGGAAGTGGCCCAGATGCTGCTTCTGTCTGCGGCCACGCTTCGACTTGTTGCACCTCCTGCAGGACAGGAGAGGAAGTGCATGACAGCAAGCAGAAGCAAAAAGCAGAACGTTGAATAAAGTGCAGCCAAAATAAACTTTACTTCAGAAAAACCAAAAGGAATTTAAAGATCAGACTAGTTTACTTCTGGATGTTCCAGAGCAGCATCTTAATATTTAATATTGTTAAAATCCTTTTTGTAAATTATGTCCTGGATCTTCATCAGCTGTTCTATTCAAAGGAAAATGTGTTTGCTGCCTCCTGCTGGCTGACACCTGGTACTGCATCCACCATCTACCTTCTTATTCTAACTGCCAGTTTCTCAGAAATGTTGACATGACCTCTAAACGTTTGTATTGAATGTGCAGCAGGTGTGCGTACCTGGTGAAGCACATCACCACGGCAACGATGACGGCGATCTGGACGGCTCCGATGATGGCAGCAATGAGAACGTAGTGCAGCTTCTGGCCGCTGGGGACCACATACAGGATGTTAAAGTCCAGCAGCTGGTCGCACCGGGGGCCGCCGTACGCAGCGTCACACCTGGCGCGCGCACACACACACACACACACACACACACA